TATATTTAATTATCTGAAACGTGCTGAGATTTCCAAAGCAACTTATATAATGCAATTAGCATCAACTATGTAAAACGTGCAAACCGCACACATTTGGATTCCTGTTGAATGAGAGAAGTATGTCAGCCCAGGTTTGAGGCTGGAATATACTACAAGACTTTTAAAATCTGAAAAGATTCTTTTTTTTTTTTTACAGCACATTTCTCACACACCAGTAGTTTCAGTTTCACTTTATATTAATTAGTTTTGCCATTTATAATAAACGTTGTTTACAATGAAAATGGCACCATAATTTGTTTGTTTTATACTTATATTTTTACAATTATAGAGTAAGAATACAATAAAAAAATGTTTAAGTAATATGCAAAACTAAGTAAGGAGAGAGAAAAGAAAAACTAAGCAACTGATAGAAAGATATTTTCAATAATGTGCATGTGAAGGCAAGCAAGAAAGAAGTACCTTTTGTGTACGTTCAGCCTCAGAAAAATTAGGACTTGTTTGCTTCAGCAGGGCCTGCACACAATTCAAGCCCACCGTCACCTCTCCAACCAGCTCACCCATTTTGCAGAGAGGACCCCTTCTCTCCATGACCATGACCAACTGAAAAAAAAAGATACAATTGTATTAGCTTTCATTTAAATTAACACACAACACAAATACACTGAAACGATATTGCCATAGTGCCATATTAAATATATATTTTCTAAAAAGACACTAAACACAAATGTTATTTTACATGTTCAAGGCATTTATTATAAAAATAAATTAAGTGAATACTTTGTCTTTGGCCTCCTGCATGGAGACGTTGAGCTCATTGTGTAAGATCTGAATCTCTGCAGGTACACAGCTCCATTTCTTCTGCACTCTGTCCATGACATCGTGCAGTCGAGCCTTCTGTGAAACCAATTCCACTTTGACTTCCTACAGTGCAATACAACACAATATCAACACCAAGGACTGCAGAAAAAGACAGCCTGCCTGTCAAACACAGGCACCAACCTGTAAGTGTTGAGCAGCTGGCTCCGACTGTAAAGCCGTTAAAAGAGAGAGAACATTCTGCTGAATGGCATTCAGCTCCTCCTGCACACGACCCAACTCCTGTATCTCAAAAAGCACTTCCCGGCGGATGTTATTGCTCTGATCTCTTAGACTAAGCAAGAAAATGTCTGTAAATGTAGATTCTGAACATTTTCCCAACTTGTGTGTTTTTGTGCATGTGTGTACAAGTCAAACCTTCTGCAGTGACCCTGTAGAGACTGCAAGTCCTGACAGATTTGAGGACACACTTTCAGCTGCTGCAAATTTGAGACCCCAAGCAATCGTGCCACATGGTGTTGTAGAGATACTAAAGTGTGATGCTCCTGCTCAGTCCCATCCTGAAGGCGCTCAGTGAGGCTCAGAACACCCTGAAGATCCACCAGGGATCCCATCACCGTAGACGAGTCTGGGAGATCATTCTGCAGTCTGTCAAGACCTTCCTTTGATTTATTCAGCTGCACAGCAAACCCAAACATGAGAAATGAGTTAACACACAGCTTACTTAATCATTTTACGAGAAAATTTAAATTGTAACAAGCTGAAAAAAAAATCTATTTTTACATACGCGTATCACAAAGTCTCTCCACTCTGCTTCTTTATGAGACATGCTAGCTTTGAGAGATTCCACTCTGCACTGCAGCACTGCCCAAGACCTCCACAGTTGTCCCAGCATCAGATCCACGGGTGCTTTGCAGCGAAGACCTGGGCAGCTTTCCCTCAGTTCCTCCAGCTTTTTAGAGAGGTTCTTCAGCTCTGTCTGGAGCACCTGCAGATGAAGACTATTTCGGTGCATGCTAATCTAGCATACTTGCATTGTTATGAGATGAAAAGTGGCAAAGGGAACCATAAAAAAACAGATTTTCAGAAGTCAAAAGGGAAGCAAAAGCAATTTTTCACTGCTTTCCCAAATCATCTTAAGATCTCCATAGGCATTATTGCTATGCATTTAACCTGTTAATGGTAAATGACCACAAACCTTTACTTTCAGCAGTTGATCTTGGCAGGCTTCAGAATCAGCTGGTTTTTGACTTAAAAATTTTGAGATTTGAGAATCAACATTTTTGAGAAGTTGACTCAGTTCTTCATGGTGACTCATGTGCACAATTTGATCTTTCATGGACCTAAATTGGAGCAGAAAGATTGAACCGTTAAAAGGCAGCTAAATAAAAGTGCCTCTAGTACATTTCATTTAACCAAATTCAGTATTCCATTCAAACTAATTGTTTCAGAGCTTGTTTTCTGAGGAAAACGTTTCCAAGTACTCTACCTTATATGGCAGACATTTAAAGAGCTTTCTGAGAAAATGCTTGATTATTTGTAGAAGTATTTTTCCCCAATAATCCAAAAATGTAAAGTCCTCATTATTTACAATTATAAAATGATTTTCCAATTTGATATAAAAATGTCAACAACAATCAGAGTGCATTGTGAATGCAGCAATCTGAATCATAGGTCAAGGTTGTTAAGTTTTTATAGAAAAAACAATCCATAACGTGCTTTATAGAGTATGACTAACCTCTGTAAGGCCTCAAGTCTGAGCTGAGCCTGAGCTTCTAATTTGGCATCTTGTACTAGAAGGTGACTCAAAACTTCGATATGAAGCTGCTCGGTTAGAGGGATGGAGAGGCATGTCTGCTGGGGAACAGAAGCACCAACTTCAGACAAGCGGGCCTGGAAACCCTCAACCAGAGTGCTGGAAATCTGTTGAACACAGCGATGCTCCTCTTTGTAGCCTTTGAAGCCATCAGAGGGGATCATGAGATTGGATCCAATCTGCTGAAAGAAGCTCTCTGCACCCTGAACAGCCCAGTGGTAATGCTTCAGTGCCTCCCGAGCTTGGAGCAGCTTGTCCTGGACAACGAAACACAAATTATTTAGAAATTGGATAAACAACATTCATAGCTTTCTAAAAACTAGAGATGGGTAATGATATAGTTTTCCAAATGATTGTGATGTTAATTTGAACAACCCCAATATTGAGTTTTAAAACTCCAAGATATGTTGCTGTTATTATAGCACTTCCCCTGCAGCAGATATCACAATCTGTATTACATCTAATGGAAAAAAAGGCTTTGTATTAAGTAGTTGTCAGGGGCTGCATGCAAAAACAACACAAAACATTACCAGTATAGTCTAATTCAAAAACAAATGTTGCAGGTTAATTTGAACCAAAAACATACTGTGACCAATGTTGCCTAACTGCCAAAGTGATTGACTCTTTTAAGAAGATTCTTTTAATGAATAGTTCAAAAAAAGATGAGTTACAGGTTTGAATTTGTAAAAAACACTAGAAAACAGAGAAAACTGAGATAAGCGAATATAACCAAATGAATCAGAATCAAATTAAATCAAAACCAAAATAAGAGCATTTGAATTCAAACAAACCAAACTGGGAAATCTATACACAGTCCTACTAAAAATACTACAAAATAACAATGCTGTCACATGCATGCTTGAAAACTACAATGGTTACAAAAAGTAGCATTCTAGTGGTATTAGTGATTTTAACATACATGGACGCATGGAGCTTACCATATGCATACCACAATCATTAAGAGTTCTCTGGCCGAGATTAATGGTCATCTGGTAGCTTTCAACATCTACTTCTTTCCTGTAGTGCTCCAACATTCGTAGAACAGACTCAACGGTCTGGATTAGCATCCAGTGCTTTCGTAGCTGTGTATCAATGGTCTTATTATCTGGCTCCAAGCAGATGGTCTCCTTCAGCTGCTGCCTGACACTGTTGAAGAGCTCAGTGAGTGTACTGAGGTCTGTAGGACTGCCGAGTCGCTCTGCCAGAGAACACTCAAGGGTTTCAGCCTCATGTTTTACTGTGAGCTCCCAAGAGGCTAGCTGCTCAATGACCAAACGGATTTTGTGCCTTTCTGTTGTCAGCTGGGATGGATAGAGATCTTTCGAAATGGCCTCAAGGTGGTCAGCAGCTTCTTGACATGTCATTCTCACCAAAGGCAGCTCCACCAGGACAGTCTGACAAAAGCCGAGCCTTGCGTCAACTCCACTTGCTACACGTCCTACACTTGAGTCTACAATCTGCGACAAGCTCTTCTTCACCGCCTCTCTGGAGTTCTCCATGTGCTGCCTTAAAATGAGGTACTCCTCATGCTCTTTGGCTTGCAACTCCAGCGGATGTATTCTCCTCTGTAGGTCTAGTACAGCATTGAGCATCTCTTTCCTCCGAGGATCTGGGCAGTGGGGAATTTCCCACACTTTGCAGAGGAGCTCCATCAGCATATGCTTAACAGGTTCAAGAGCCAAGAGCGAGTCCCTTGTTATGGGATACTTCTGCCTCATGACATCAGCACTCATCTGTCTCAAGCTCTTCAGAATGATGTTCTGTTCCTCAGCAGAAGATTCCTGAGCATGAAGGAGTTCTTCAAGCACCCAGTGCAAGGCCCACTTACGGTTCACAACCCTAGAGACCTCTTCTTGTAAGGCTGTTAGCCTATTGATAAGCTGAAAGCTTTCGGGTACACTCAGACCGTGATTCACTTTTTTCATTTCATCTAACAGAGTCTCCAGATTATTTGCTTGTCTCTCAGCATCCTTCAAAGCCTCTGTGCATAGCTGAAGCTGAACCCTCAATTCTGGGATAGTAGTTTTAGGTTCAGAAGCCACTGTTTTACCAGACTCTTTTTCTAATACTGAGGTCAACCAAGAGCTGCTGTCAGTGATCGGTTTCCACAGTCTTTCTCTAATATGAAACATTCTGTTCATTTCTGCAACAGCACATTCGGTCTTCTCTGTAAGCTTAACGTACAAATCCTCTAGGGAATCGAGGGTGGGTGATATGGAATCCTCCTCATCGAGTCCTGAAACTTCCTCTCTTAGCTCTGTCAAAACAGAGGCCAACTGAAACCTCTTAAGAGATGTTTCAGACTGCAGTTTCTTCATGTGATTGACCTGGTGACTTGCTTCTTCAGGAAACAGAGACAACCTCCTTCTCCTACTGACTTTGCTTTCTGTTTGATTAGCCCATGTAACGTAGTCCCTGATAATCCTCATGATCGGTGAGCATCCATTGCCATTTGAAGTCTGAGAGCTGATCTTCTCCTCAGTCAGAGCAAGCTGAGAATTCAAGCCCTGCATTGCGTCCTCCACATCTCTGAGCTCTTTTTTTCCCAGCGGACTTGAGGAAAGAGCCTGAGAGACCTCAAGAAGGTACAAGTAGCGCTCAGTTAACACTGCCAGGTCTGCAGTTCTCACAATCTCTTGTAGCGCACTTTGACAGTCCATCTGTCCTTGAGAGGGATGCGGAAGAGAAACTGACTTCTTCAGAAGCTCCAGTTCGTATTGCAGCTCTCTGGCTTCTTGCAGGAGTGCAGCTACTTCTGCTGTGCAGATGTTAGCACACCACAGACTGCTGGAAGCAACCCGCTCCATAGTTTGCCATCTCTCCTGTAAAGTCCTAAAAGGTTCAATGCAGGCCACAGGTCCCTCAGTCTCACGCAGATGGGCTGAAATCTGAGAGCATGTCTGTAGGAGCTCCTCTAGTATGCCTCTCTTCTCCTGCATGTTCTTCAGGAATGCATTCAGCTTCTCCACTTGCAAGGTGCTGCTGTCAATGCAATCCCTTCAAAAATGTGAGAATATGGTTACTTTTCAATGTTGTACAATATCTACAAGGGATGTTCATTTCGGTTATTTTTCCTAACCGACAACCGACGCTCGTTAACTGATTATTAACCGTTAACCGACAAGATTATTTTAAATTAGAATTGAATTAAATTAGAAAGGATAAGTGTCTGTGACCCGTTAAAAATACTAACATTTGTTTCCCGGGGATTAATTTTACATGTTACATATTTACATATTTTACATATATACATTTACATATATATATATATATATATATATATATATATAACGAATAAATAGGCCTATACGAGAAACATATTTTTACTTAAATTATAAATTAAGAAAATGTAAGAAAAACAAGTAGCCTAGTATGCAGAGTTTCGGTTCATTTTTGTGCTGTGCGAAAGGAAAAAGATGGCAGAAAGCAGCATCCTATTTTTCTTTAAGCTTATTTTACAAAAGCACAAAACAGATTTGTTTTTATTGTGAATGTACACAAATAAAGGCCTTTTACAATTCC